CCCTCTCCGTCCTAGTTTCCAATGTGTACCTGCTAGTTGTACAATCCTTGTACAATGTGTCAAAGTCTGTATCTGCGATTAGTTTACATCTGTTTACTCCAGGTTGGATAGCTCCTAAACCCCGCAGTACGCGAACCTATAATAAACAGGTTTATTACAATCCTAAATCCTGCAGTTCACGAGCCTTTAACAAACAGGTTTAATACAATTCTAAACCTTGCAGTACACGAACCTATAATAAACAGGTTTAATACAATTCTAAACCTTTCAGTACACGAACCTATAATAAACAGGTTTAATACAATCCTAAATCCTGCAGTACGTGTACCTATTATAAACAGGTTAAATACAATCCTAAACCTAGCAGAAACCTATAATGAACAGGTTTAATACAATCCTAAACCTTGCAGTACACGAACCTATAATAAACAGGTTTAATACAATCCTAAACCTTGCAGTACACGACCCTATAAAAACAGGTTTAATACAATCCTAAACCTAGCAGAAACCTATAATGAAGGTTTAATACAATCCTAAACCTTGCAGTACACGACCCTATAAAAACAGGTTTAATACAATCCTAAACCTAGCAGAAACCTATAATGAACAGGTTTAATACAATCCTAAACCTTGCAGTACACGAACCTATAAAAACAGGTTTAATACAATCCTAAACCTTGCAATACACGAACTTATAAAAACAAGTTAAATACAGTCCTAAACCTAGCAGTACACGAATCTGTAAAAACAGGTTTAATACAATCCTAAACCTTGCAGTACACGAACTTATAAAAACAGGTTAAATACAGTCCTAAACCTTGCAGTACACGAATCTATAAAAACAGGTTTAATACAATCCTAAACCTTGCAGTACACGAACCTATTAAAACAACGAATGAACGAACCTAATGTACAAATAGGTTAACTTCATTTTATCATGCAAATACATAAACAAAATACAAAATATCATTTATACTGTTAAAAAGAATTGAGTCTTTAGTATTGACGCAAACTCTGATTTTCTAATCCCTCTATCTTTGCAACCCGATGTCGTAGACCTTGGTTTTATATGCTATGAATTCTGTAAGATCAAAAAATATAAGTTTGAAATACCAAAAGTTCAAATCACCAGGTTACATGAGATATAAGAACTATAAAATTTGAGTTTATGGCAAAGACTCAATTCCTGATTGTACACACAGTTTTAAGATTTAAAGTACTTACATTCAGAAATAGAATCTTTAAAAAGTTCAAATTAAAAATATTTTATCAATTCTTCTTAATCATAAATTGTCTTGCATCTTCCTGCTATCATTTTCACAAGAAATGCAACGATACATATTTTTAAACATTTTATTATATAATCAGTGCTTCTTATAAAATCTGAAATAAATGAAAAAAAGTTTAAAAATTTTTTAATGAAAATGCTCAGAAATAAATATTTTTACCTGTTCCACGTTACAGATCATTGGCATGATCTCCAGACGTTTACACTTAGTATAAACAGTATGGAGTCCCCCCACCAGGTTCTTCAGGAACAACTCGAAGGCCTGTGGCAGGCACAACATCGTCTTCCCGTTGATCATAAATGCCGCAATTTTTTCTCCGCGATAATCCACGATTTTACAATCGTTAGCTGTTGGATCATTCGGAGCCACCATGGGGGGAGGTGATCGCGCATAGGGACGATTTTGCATCATTCCATGCAATCCTGAATATTCCCCACTCATCCGGGAGAAATCTTTAGGAGAAAACCCCTGGGGGAAAGGGACACCGGGGAATCCAAAACTCGGGGGCCTCGAGAGCATAGAGGCCATGGTCACCATTGATATTGAGGATGGGGGTAGTGAGGGAGGACTGGAGGAGGGTGAAACCGAGTCTGATCTATCTGGAGTTTTAGATCCAGGAGGAGAGGAGAGCTTGAAGTGAGAGAGGTCGGTTGGATTGTTTGGAGCCGGTAGGGTCATCATCATTGAGGTGTTCATATGTTCCATATACTGCATCTAGAACTAGCTAAACATTTTAAAGGGTTTACCTCACTCAGCAAACTGATTAATTGTTCATAAAAATGCACTTAGGAATTTTACTGCTGACGCTGCGTAGAGTGTACACGTAATTTAGTGTATTTTAATGGATATGTTTGGTGGAATTTTTCAACCATTAATGGTGTATTGTTCCTTAGGATAGTTTAAAAATTTTGAAGGAACAATCAGAGTTGAATTGGAATGGAAATGTAGTCCGTTAGTAGTGCTTGCGAGCGCTAGACTGTCGGATGTCATTCCGAGTCTCGGAGTTCGGTCGGGCCTTCTCTCTCTCTTTCTCTCTCTCTCGTTCTCCGATTCGTCTACATTTCCATCCCCACTGTGTATCTAGCCTGGAGCAGGTCGGCGGACCTGTACATGGATCTTCTCCCCCGTACCGGCCCAATCCTCGGCCGTTACATTTGCCCATTCCAACTGTGTATCTGTGGGCACGGTTCACTCTATGCATCCCTTCTCTCTCTATTTCTCTCTTTCCCGGTGTATAGTACCGCGCAGTTAGGCTCTACGTGGTAAACCGCCACAGTGCAATCCCAACTCTATTTCTCGTATTGGACTGTAGATTTCAAATGTCCGACCTTCCCAATGTTTGGACCAATAGGAGGCGCCCCTGAAATTGGGTTCTTCACAGCCGGGCCCCCTCACTTACAGATCTAGATACAACGAATGAGAATTGTCATTATTGAATTTTAGAACGGTGGGGGGTTGAAATACACTGGATAAAGGTTTCAGCGGCAGTTTTTTTAAACCACAAAACACGATCAATAAATATATTTCAGGCTCAGTGCACTGTAATAATATAATTAGTGACATCGGACACTGTTATTTTGTTCTATCGTTAGTTCTGTCGGGGCCGGAAATCTTAAATATAACAAAAAAAAAAAAAATTATCGGCCGAAAAATAATTCCACGAAAATAAATTTTATTCTGATAAATCGCACTAAAAAGAAAGTCTGTATTTTGAGTAAAAACCCCGAGATAGGAAAAAACTAATTTATTCTGAAAATGCGAAAAATAATCCAATCTTGAATGCAAAATATCATGTTGGATCAAAACCAGGCCCGCGGGCAGTGCAACCTAAAATTGTAAAAAATTCTGCAAATATACTTCAGAAATTTTGCTACAAATATATTGAGCAAACGTTGACATGTTCATATTTTCGAGGCTTTTTGTAGACGTAAATATTTTTGATTTATTAACATTTATACTAGAACTTTTTCAGGATAGGAAAAACGATAGAGGTTCGTTTCATGGTAAACAACTAGAAAGGAGGGAGGGGGGGGGGG